ACCAGAATTTGCTGTGGGCTGCCGCACGAGCTTCTGGACTCGAAGTTGGCCTCCTCAACGCCGTGCAGGCCTTCTACGACGCACCGCGCACTTACGCCAGCCTGAAAGACGACCTTGCCTGAAAGACGACCTTCACTTCATGTTCGCGGTCTCGGCGGGGATTGCCCAAGGCTGCCCCCTGAGTGGCACGATCTGGAGCATCGCCCTCAACCCGATCCTGACCCACGTTGAGGTCGCCTTCAAGCATCACCCGCACTCCTGCCTGTCCGCCTGTGCCGACGACCTTGGCACCATCGTGGAGGGAGTTGCGCCCTCCACATTTCAGGGTGCCGAGCACCTCGCGCCCCTGCACCGAAACTTCCAGAAATGCGCAGCCGTCCCGCTCCGCGTCCCGTTCGCCCCCTCCATGGTCAACAAATTCCAAACATGGCTCGGCTCGTACCGAGCTGAATGAATGGCCCTTCTTCGCCGCCCCAGACCGCGCCAAGCACCTGGGTATGATAGTCGGGCCAGCGGTCACCAACGAGCACCGGGCGCTGCCGATGGCCAAGCTTGACGGCAGGGTGAGGGACCTAGCGAGCTTCGGTGCGCCCACATCAATATCGACCACAGTTACCAAACATACGCCGTCTCGGCGCTCAGCTGCGTCGCCGAATTTGCCGAATTCGCATCCAAGGTCTTCAGAGACGTTGAAAACTGGGCCATCTACAAGACGCTGGAGCTGCTACGGTTCAAGGGCAGTATTCCTGGGGTTGGCGGGCTGGTTACACATCAGCATCCTTGTTCTGGAGTTGGTGAGAATCGCCTCGGCGATGAGGATGGTTTTTGGAATTGTCCCGCAATTGCAAGGATGGCTGCGTACAGTTTGCGAAGCAGCAATTGCCTGTGGTGGCCTGGCCGCAATGCCCATCCCCATCAAGGACGGGCCCCCTCATTTCTATGAAAGTCTAGACGCTTAGCGCAACCCCGCCAGCAGCCCTTGCCGCTCAGCCACCCGCGTGCTGCCCCCCGTACAGGCGCAGGCGCTTGCGGCTTCCGCTATCCCCCGCGGGGTTGCCCCAGGCCGCCGCCACGGGACACCGCACTGCCAGCTAATTACCCGCCACTTTGGCGTGCACCTCCGGCGATTGCTTGCTGCCGATGTCACCCCCTCCGTGAGCGCCGCGCGGCCCGCCCTGGCTAGTCTCACCTTCCGTTGTTCTTTTGTTGTCTCCCTCTCTTCTCTCTTGTTGTCTCTCTTTTCCTATCTCTCTCTCTCTCGTGTGCAATGTCGGCTCCGGCTTGTTAGCTGTAGCTCTGGACGGCGCGCGGTAATTCCGCCTGCGCTCGCGATCAAAAACCCCACCAGCCCATCCAGACTTGATTTCCTGAGGAATTGCCTCGATCAGGAAAGTGGGCAGCACACAGAGGAAGGGTTCCCCAGGGGTCGCCTCTTGGAGCGTCTTGGGGGCCTCTTGGCGGTCCCGGGCGCCTGTCGGAACGTCTTGGGTGCCTCGGTAAGCTTCCTGGGGCCTCTTAGGGGTCTCTTGGGAGCCTCGTGGGGGCCTCTTGTGCGCCTGTTGGGGCCTCCTGGGCACATCTTGGGGCTCTCTTGAAGCGCCCTTGGGAGCCTTGGAAGCGCCCTTGGAGCCCACTTGGATCATCTTAGAGCCATCTGGAGGCCTCAGATGGCCATCGGAAGCGAAAAGGCGGGAGCACCGTGGGAGCCATCTTGAGGCACTGAGGGGTACCTTCAGCCATCTTGGAGGTCATCTTGGGCTCTCCCAGGCGCTTTTGGAGTCATCATCAGTAGTGTCCCCCCCCAGGAGGCCAACATAAGGCCAACACCCGAGTACAAACAGTGATTGTGGCATTCTCGTTGAGGCCTTTTGGAGCGTCTCGGGTGCCTCTGGGGGCTTCTGGGGGCCTGTTAGGGGTCTCTTGGGGGCCTCTTGGGGGCATCCTGGGGGCCTTTGGGGGGCCTCTTGGGGGCCTCTGGCCGCCTCTCGTGGCCATATTGGGGCACCCTCGGGAGCCTTGATGGCGCTTTGGGGGCCACCTCGGAGGAGATCGATCAAAAAAAGGGGGGGGCCTAATTAGCCCCCCCCCCACCCAGGAGGCCAAAATGGAGCCAAAACCCTTTGAACCCACTGGTTGTGGCTTCCTCCACTGGTTGTGGCTTCCTCCCCGAGGCCGTTTTAGACGCTCCGACCGCTCGCGGAACGCCCCGTCCAGGTCCAGGGGAGGGGGTCGGTGGAGGGGTAAACCCCTCCCCGAAGGGGAAGAGGAAGGGGTGGAAGAGGAAACGCTCTAGACCACCTACGCCCAGAGGGCTGGTGGGATTCTGAGACGATCCCCCACTACCTCGAGTACGCGGCCACAGACTTTCCGTGGAACGCGAATCTGAAACATTGGGCCGCAAAGGCGCTTGTCTCGCTGGGCACGGGGCGCCGCGAGGTGGCGACATCGGTGAATATAGGTTTGGCTGCCGCTCGCATCTGCCCTCGGCACATCATGTCTCGTTTTTTACGTCCTCGCTTTTTCCCTGATGTCCTCGCCCCTACTCTCTTCAGCAGGTTCGCCAAGGGGGTCCCCGAGACAAAGCTCCGTTCTGTGCACATGTCTTTCGGGGCCCTGTCTGACAGATATTAAGCTCGCCACATTCCCGCGGGCAGTCCAAGGTCAGTAGCCAAAACGGACCTAAGCGCGTGGACCACATCTCCCTCCCCCCAGTGGCCCCTCCTCACGGAATCTCTCTCGTCGCGCTTGGGAGACCGCCCAGCACACGGGCGCGACTCCACCAGCATTTTGTCCTTGTGTCCCACACATAACTGCAGGCGAGATCGTCACAACCGTAACCGTGGCTCGGTGGGCGACAGTATGCTCGACCCTACAGCCCTGAAGCCTGAGGCGGGGACGCATGCAGCTAGACTTTGCCACACCGAGGGTGCGATTCACACTGCTCGGTCGCCGCAGCCCCGCGTAGTCCCCCCGACACTTCACGTGATTGCCCGTGGACGGGCTTCGTGGAGTCACGCGTCCTCCTTCTCCCCTCCTCTTCCCCCCCTCATCCGTCAGTATTTGTCTCTGCCTTCTCCTCTCGCGTACCAACACATGATCATTAAAGCCTCCTTCTCGCGCCACAAACGTGCCAGCAATGCGGCCCGGGCGTATAACATGGGACGTCCTCGCAATCTTTGCTTTTGAAGCATGAGATATCGAACATTTACACTGATGGAGGGCGGGCGGTTACAACATTTAAAATGCGTCTCGCACCGAAGCGTCAGCGACGCTGTCACAAGGAATGACGGCGGGTTGTTTTCATAATGTGGCCCGCGACCATGATCGCCGCGCAAGTTCGCCCCAAACGCTCCCAGCAGCTACAAGAATTTGGGGCGGGCCGCGTTTAAACATTATATGTTTGCCTTAATGCCAGCTGGCGCCAAAAGTTCCCACCAACTTCAAGGACGGAGGGCAGGTTCTGTCCAGGCCTTCGCTTCATTTTTCTTGGAAGCTTTGATTTGAAGCTATACATCACTTGCACGGTTGGGCAGGCGGTTGTTTTCGCAGATGGAGGGGGCGGCCCCTGTTCAAAAAAACGTGCTCGTTGGACGTTTCTTTGTCCTTGGTGATCTCTTCGCCCCAGACATCCGACGTCCCGATGTTTTCAAAGCGGGGCCCCTGGAAGTCCCGATCCTTTCTCCAGGACCAGTTTTTCATCCTGAGTCGTTTGTTGACGGTCCCGAGGCCCGGCGAGGGTTCCCAGGGGCCGACATCGACCAACAACTTCGCGTCCTGAGTTTTGTCGCGACGCGATCGTGTCTGGGGTCGCACCTTTCACGGCAGAAGGATGCATGCCTGTTGTTTGTGGGTTGGGCTAGATGGGGCCACCGCCGGAAGGGGCAGGCCCAGGGGGCGCTCGCCTTGCGCAAGAGGGAGCTTCCCCCGCAGCACGCGGGGGGGAGATGTGCGAGGAGACTTGGTGAGGAGGGGGGCCTTTGGGACGGGGGCAGGGAGAGGGAGGGGGAGGAGGAGGAGGAGGGGGAGGAGGAGGAGGAGGAGGAGGAGGAGGAGGAACGCCACAGCATGCGCTTACTGGTAGGTCAGACTAACGTGAAGGAGGAGGAGGAGGAGGAGGAGGAGGAGGAGGAGAAGGAGGTTGTGTCGCAGTTGGTTTAAATATGCTCTGCTCTGGCCCACCTCCTCGTCTTGATCCTGCTCGTCTCCATGCTTTGTCTTCTGCGTTCGTTACCCACCTCTCCCTTATCCTCCTTCTCCTCCTTCTCCTCCGCTTCCTCCCGTCCCTCCTCGAGACAAAAACAGGTTTGGCCGCTGTTACCCATCGCTCCTTCCTCCCCCCCGACCCACCTTCCCCCCACTCGTCGGATGGACGTCCCCGCCCCTGCTTTCCCTCTCCACCCCCTTCATATGACATGCAGCTCCCTGTCTTTTGCTTGAGTGGGTGGTGCATCTCCCACATCCCCCCCCCCGAGTTACGAGGCTAGGTCGGAGTTTATTGCTTACGCGTTTGTCTCGCCCGTTCGCCTCGCCGCGGGTGTGCGGACCCACCCCGTTTCTCTTAGCGGACTGTTTTGCGTGAGTTTTTGCCGCCTCCTCGCTTTTCTCACGTACGGACTCGGGCTGAAACGCTGCTGGGGGGTGGGGGCTCCCCCCGAGGCTGGATAGGGCGCGCAGCGGAACGAGTAGTCCCAAATTGCCGGCCCCTGCGGGATACAACTCCTGAGAGACTTAATTCAGAGTCGTCGCTGGTATTTCCCTGGTCGGACACTGGCCCAGTCGGATTTCATCCCGCTCAGTCCGGCTCAATCCATCTCGAGTCCGGCTCACTCCGTGCTCCGTCCGACGACATCCGGCTCGGTGGCCTTTCCATCAGGCTTGGACCAGGTCTTATGTATGCAATCGTTCTGGCGGCGGCCTCCCAGGGGTTGCCTCCCAACCCACTTCCGCCACCCCCTCTGTCCCTTCCGCCCGCCCATCCGCCGCCCGCGGGCTCGCCCGCAATGGATCCGGAGCCGCTGCGCCCAGCCAGTGGCGTGGAGCACCAGGACAGGCACTCCGCCGCGCGGGGGGGGGGGCGCGTGGGCCCCGAGCGCGAAGGCTGGGCTAACGGGTCGCACGGTCGGGATTGCTTGGCGTGTCCACTTCCACCCCTTCCCTCTCACGACATTCTCGCGTAGTGGCAGGAGTCGCGCCAGAAGGTTCTTGGCCGTCATCGGTTTCTGGGAGCCCTCGCGCGGGGCCCGGGGCCTTCACAAAACGATTTCAGGATAAGAAGCAGGGCCCGGGCAGGGGTTCAGAACTCCTGGGGCACATGCGAACAATACGACGTCGGACATTTGGCGCCTGCTCCTCGTCCTCCTCCTCCTCCTCCTCCTCGCTCTCCTCCTCCTCCTCCTCCTCCTCCTCCTCCTCCTCCTCCTCCTCCTACTCCTCCCCTTCCTACTCCTACTCCGACTCCTACTCCTACTCCTATCCTTATTCCTTATTAGAATATACTCCTACTCCCCCCTCAGGCCGGCAGATAGCGGGCGCATCCGGGTGGTCCCATCCTAACCTGTAAAAAACAATACAAAATCAACATTTTCTTATTTTTTCCTCTCGACATGGACGTCCTGTCGTCCACGGCGATAATCCATTGCAAAAAATACCACAAAGAGCACACGCGCGCGTTCATGTCAGAATCCTACCGAACACCGTGTGTTTGCAAGCATTTCAACATAAAAACATCAAAAACCCAATGCTTTTTCACAAAAATTGTACAAATTTCCCGCCCGGGCTCTCTTGCTGAAATCATAGGAAAACCATAGGAATCTTAAGAATTCGGTCAAATCCAGCGATTTCACGTCATCGCGCGGTGCACTCGCGATGCTCTGTCATGCACCCAGGCCGCGAATCCTGTGCAAAAAATACCACAAAGAGCACACTCGCGCGTTCATGTCAGAATCCTACCGAACACCGTGTGTTTGCAAGCATTTCAACATAAAAACATCAAAAACCCAATGCTTTTTCACAAAAATGCTTTGGGGTGTCCTGTCAGACCGTCGGGCTTCCTCCGGCCACCTCTGGCTTCCTGCGGTGTACCGGGCCATTCTCGACTCGTCTGGCAATGCGTGCGCGGCATTCAACACGCGCTCGCCAGTTCCCGTCGGCAACCGCCATCGCGGCCGCATCAGCTGTACCAAACCGGCTGGCCGGTGTGACTTCGGCCCCCAGTTGTGCCAGCTTTGCTTCTTATGTTGTGGGAGGGCGGGTGGGACTGGGCATGCCATGCTTGACTCGCTCGAGCTGGCTAGCTTGACTCCTACTCCTACTCCTACTCCTACTCCTACTCCTCCATCCCTCCTGAGCAGGCGGCTTTGAGCACGGCTGCCAGGTGGGCACGTCACCTGCGAAGTGATGACGCTGTGCTGCAGAGTTATCTCCCTCGGCTGTCGGCCGATGATGGAGATCAAGAGCGACGACGTCTTCAGCGAGCTGCTCGTGTGCTCTACGAGGTGGTGAGGTTCTGCCAGAGGATCTGCTCACACGGCCGGGTATTTGCGCACCTGGACGACCTCACGGGAAGGTTCTTGAAGGCGGGCACCGACGTGCTGGGCGACCCGTCCTTCGCGGACCTCGGGCAGAGGATCTTGAACAGGGCCGCGCTCCACGAGGCAGCACTCCTGGCGCTGAAAAGTGATGAGTGGCAGGTTTGTGTTAGGTCTTCCTTTTTGAGCGGGGCTCGAACAGCTCACCGTTTCTCAAAAACCAAGGCGGTCCAGGAAGTCATAGAACCAACGTAGCAGGCCCAACCCTTTGAGCTGGCGGATGAGTGTTTGCAGGGGTGGGGTTCGATTTGGGCCACCCACAATTGCAGAGCTCCTGAGCTTCCTGGAGATGTTTTGTCTTGGGAGCCCCTTTCCAGACATCACTGTGCCTGCGCTGCATTGCGTGCTGCGATAGGTCAGTTTCCTGGGGGAACGGCGGTAGGCCCTGGGTCAATACATCCTCTGTCGCTGCTGTACCTGTCTGACCAGGCCCTTGAGGTTTTTGTGTCATTGCTGCATCGGTGTGAGCAGGTAGGCGCGGCCTTCGCAAAGGGTTGTCTCGAAGTTGGTCAGGCTGCCAAAGCCAGACGGGGGCCACCGCCTGACTGCCCTTTTAGATTCGTTGATTAGGATCTTGTCCAGGGTCCGCATGCCTGTTTCAGAGCGCTGGGAGCGCGACAATAGGACGGAGGAGTTCTGGGGTAGCGGGCTGGGAAGGAGTGCGAGCGATTCTGCGCCTGAGTGATACCTGTCCGCTGAGATTGCCAGGGCCAAAGGTTGACACTGGGTCAGTGTACTTCTCGACATGGCCAAGTGCTACGAAACGATTCGGCTGTCTGTTCTCCTGGGCATATACAGAGCCGTAGTTTTCCCCTGAGGCCAGGCTGATTGAAGCTCATGGATCGTTCTCGGAGCTCTATATATCGTCATGTGTGTGCCAATATGTTTGCCGTTATGCTAAACCCTGTCAGGCAGACCATTGCTAGGCGTCCGTCCATCACCGCAAGGGTTTTGATGGATGACGTTCACAAGTCGGAGATAGTGTTCGCAGCTGTGCGAGATCTGTGCCGCCGCCTCACCCCCATTGGTTTCTTACTGCAGCAGAATAAGTCGGGATTTCCGGCCCACTCGATCGCGACCGAAAAGAAAGTTAGCTTTTCGGCGCGACGGCTTGGGTTTAAAAGCAGAGCGAATTTTAGGAATTCGGGACGCGATTTATTTGGTGGAAAGGTCATCCGTAGTGTGGAGGCTGGTCGCTGCCGTAAGCTTTTGGGGCGCAGGGCGAAGCTCAAGGTTCTGAAGAAAACGGCTGGGCCCACAAAGTGGCCGCGCTCTGGCGCACTGGGCTTCTGCCCAGCGGGGGCCATGGAGCCTCGGTCGCGGGGGACGGAGACACCGCGCTTCGGGGCTTGAGAGGGCTAGCGGCGGAGCTTATGGGTGCTAAAGGTCGTTCCCATGTCACCGCTTTCCTAAGCACCCATAGCGATGTCAGCTCTGACCCCTTAGTAGATGCGACAGTGCCGCTGGTTTTTAGATGCTGCTGCTGAGTCTGGGATCGTAGAGCGAACGACTCAGATTTGCGCAAGGCTTGGCAGCTGGCTTTCGACACGCTTGCCGTGAAATCGTCTTGGGCCCAGGTTCGTGGCCCCATCGGGGCCGTCATTTTGAGCTTCCGTCGCATCCGCTGGGGCCTGGCGGGCCCGCATTTCGTTCGCTCCGACCTCGGCGAAACCTTTTGTCTGCTGCCAGTCTCACCTCATGGCATTCGCAGACTGTTGTTAGACGGTCTGAACCGAGTGCAGATGATGCAGCTGTTGTCGGCCATCCCAGAAGCTGCGGGCTCCGAGCAAGTTTGGGGGTCGAGCGCTTCGGCTTGGCGTGCTCTCGGCGCGAAATCGCGTGCGCGGGGGCACCCTGAAGGCCCTGTTGGGAGGATGGTTCTGGCCGCCAGCTCGCAAGTTTTTGCACGGCTACGCCGAGTCGGACAGGAGCCAAGCTTGCAATCAGAAGCCCGGCACGTTTGGTCACCAATGGTTTGATTGTGATAACGTCTGGTCTCAAGGCGGGCAGGGCCCAGAGGTCGCGCCGCCGTTGCCAGATGATTTCTCAGAGCATCGGCAGTGGTTGAAGGACTCAGCGAAAAGGACACCCGCCCGACTTCGACTCGCTTGAGCGTGCGCACGGTCTTCCGTCGACTCCGATTGAGCTGAGTTCGGTCCCCGCTGCGCTGCCGGCGTTTACCTGGGGTGCCACTCAATTAAGTTGGGGGCGGAAGATTTACACCGACGGGTCTGGCCGAGCCAACGGGGTCCCTGAAGCCACCCGCTGCGGGTGAGCGGCTGTGGAGCTCTCGGCCCAAGGCTGGCCGATTCGGGCCCGCTACGGGGGCCTGTCGGGGAGGTGCCAGACGGTCCCGAATTCCGAGAGGCAGGCCATTCTCGAGGCGCTCCGAGCGGCCCCGTGGGGAGCTGAGATTGTCTCGGACCACCTGTCCGCAGTCCGTGAAGGCGCCGAGTGGGTTGACATATTGCAGAGAGGTGCGAGCCGTCATGCCAGCGCCTGCCTCGAACTCTTTTATATCAGGGTCGGTCGAAGAGGCCGACGTTTCGTTGGGCCCCAGCCCACGGAGATCTCGATGAGGTGTTGGCCGCTGAGCCTGGAGGTGGTTTTGGTGGTGCGTCTCGCGTGTACGATCTCCTTGGGAATGCCTGGGCTGGTTTCTTTGCGAATCTAGGCTCGGCCCAGATTTGCGTCGCAGATGTAGCTGTGGAGGCGCTCAAGGCGCGCCTGAGGCATGCTATGCGGACGTTTGGTTTCATGTCCAGGGCGGCCCAGTTGGTGGCCAGTAGCAGCGTGGTCGAACCGAGGGTCGCCCCGAGGCCGAAAAAACCCTACGGCCCCTCTTGTTTTGCTGTCTCATGACCTCGAGCAGATTTCTGACAGGTCGGTCCGCTGCACATGGTGCCACTGCTCAGCGAGCGCGGCCAATGCTCGAGCTCGCTTGGGGCGGCCTGGCGCGCGGTGCGAGCCGACGGCCTTGCATTTTTTTCTAACGGCATTCAGGGCGGAGAGGCTCGGTGGCAACCTGTCGAGGGCGCGTTCGAGCGCCGTCCGACTGGCCCTGTCGGCGCTCGGGCTGCAGGAGGAGTTGTCGTCGTCGGCGTCGTCGTCGCCGCCCCCGTCCCAAGTGCCCGAGGTCTTCGAGTTTCAGGAGCACTTGGCGCAGCCTGCTGGGCGCTAGCTTGTGTGCAGGCGTTGCGGCGCCCACGCACTCATTGAGCAGCCAGCGTTCAGATCGCCGCTGCAGCCCTGTCAGGGCACCCCGACCGCGGGCCAGCTCTGGTTCCGCGACGAGGTCCTGTCTGGGCGCGAGCCCCGCTAGCCGTAGGGCTGGCGGCTGGCGGTGCGGCCGCGCCGAGCTCGGCGGCACCGTCGGCCCCGCGGACGCTGGGCTCGCTTTTTGTTTTCGGGCCTCGGAGGCGCTGCTCCAGGCCTTCCCAGGCGGCCGCTGCCGCCCACTTTCTGCCAGCCCCCCTTCGAATCGGATGGTGGCCCCAGCCTGGTTCCTGGTCCCTCCTGCGCCTTTCCTCATTTGTTCACCACTCTGGTCTGAACATTTGATTTTGCCACCAGGGTTGATTTAGCTGAGGTGTTCAGCTTCGTGCGCTCGCGCTTTTGGCCTTCAGATTCATCCCGGAAGAACAATATCCACATAACTGACGGCGCAAGTGGTCCAATGATGAGCTCAGGTCGAAACGGAACCGTCTGCTCGTACCCCGGTGATCGCGCCACCGCGTTTCGCGACTGTCCCATGCCATCCCAAATTTCTTCCCCCACTCCTCCCTCCTCATCCCCCCTCCTTCCGATCCGCCTTCCTTCATTTCCGACGACGACGGCGACGGCGACGGCGAGGCTGGCTCTTCCCCTCCGACGTCAGTTACGACGGCGGCGTTGCTGGCGGCGGCAGCGACGGCGGCGTTGGCCAACAATTGGCGACAGCGGCGACGTCGACGGTGGCGACAGTGGCGGAGGCGACCACGCATGAGGGAGTGGGCCCACAGGACGCCGTCGCTGTGCGCCTGCACCGCTTCGAGCACAGACTCGACAAGGTCCAGGCGGACGCGGCGGCCAACGGCGAGGCGGCGACGGAGTTCGCCCTGGAGGCGCCGCGCCGCCCGCGGCGGGAGGTGTGCAGACGGCCGGCCGGATGACCGCAGATGCCCACGGTAAGAGCGCTCGCTCGAAGAAATACCGGGGCAAGCGGGGGTTTTTGACCGTACCAACCTGGCAAGCTTTCCCTTCCCCAGACATGCGACGTTCTGTTTTTTTCCACAGCGGGGCCCCTGGAAGTCCCGGCCCTTTCTTCGGGACCGGCTCTTCCTCCTGAGCCGTCTTGTTGACGGTCCCGAAGGCCCGACGAGGGCTCCCAGGGGCCGACATCGACCCACAACCTCGCGTCCTGATTTTTTCACGTCGCGATCATGGCTGGGCTCCCTCCCGCCACGCGCCAGAGGCCACCCGCCGCATCGGCGCCCTCGAGGCCGAGCTCAGGGACCTCTCCGCGGGCGCCATGGGCCTCCGCGCCGGCGGCGACGGGGACCGGCCCGCTGCCGGGCGCGCGGACGCAACGGCTTCGACGTCGGGGGCGGCGTCGGCTGCGTCCAAGAGGTCCAACGCATCGAACACGTCAACACGCGAAACTACCCCAGGGAGCTCTTGAGGGGGAGAGAGCTCGAGGCTTTCGAGTGTTCCGACTTCGAGGTCTTCGGGCGTGCTCGTGGGTTCCGGGAGGCTCCTCCGGCCTCGGGAGGCCTTCCAGCACATGCGCCTCGCCGAGAGCGCCCCTGGGGTGCCAGGACCGCCCCGACCGGCCACCAGAGGCCCGAGCTCTGGCCCGAAGACCGAGCTCCTCGCGCCGTGGAGCCAATCTCGGCGAGCGGCTTTGCGCAGCTTTCGGATTCTGGAGGACCTCGCCGGGGCCCGCGGGGCCACCAAAAACCACTCGGGGTGAAACACAAGTCGGGGGGGGGGATGGGTCGAGACCTCGACCAGGGGTCCTGCTGTGAAGAGAATCGTGATCTCGGGGGTATGGGCTTTTGTTGGCGGCTGGGCGGAGCTCGAAGAATTGGCAGGGAACCGAGTTCCAGGGCCCGTCGTCGACGACGGCGTCTCGTCGTCTTTGAGGTTCTGAGCTCGTGCGCTGAGGTGTGTCCGAAATGTTTCACTCTTTTTAGGAGCCTCCAAGGCCCCCGCCGATTTCCCTCAAAGTTCTGGCCAGCCAGAACGCAGCCCCCCAGGAGAGCTGGTATGGCCGCCTTGCTCTTGAAGAGAGAGGCCACCGTCGTCGTCGTCGTCGACGGCATGTGCCCACGACGATGGCGACGTCGCCGATGACGACGGCGGTGGAACCGGCCGCGTCTGCGACGACCGCGACGAAAACGGCGGCGGCGGTGACGAAGACCGCGACATTGATGTGGATCGTCGCGGCGATGGTGCTGGCGCCGAAACTCAAGACGGCGACGAGAACGACGACCATGACCATGGCGGCTTTGAGGGCGTCGACGGCGCCAGTGGCGACGTCGACGAGGAACCTGGCGGCGGGGACGACGGCCACGACGAGGGGAAGGAGGATGGAGGAGCAGGATGGAGGAGAAAGGAGGAGGTAGAGAACAGCAGCAACAGAAGTAGCATAAGAGCATGAGTGAGGGAGAGGATGGAAGATGAGAGGAGGAGGAGGACGGCGGATGGAGTGACGAAGGCGAGGAGGAGCAGGAGGGAGGAGTAGGAGTAGGGTTGGGGTGGGGGGAGGGTTGTGGCAGGTGGGAGGACGGAACAGGAGGGATGGGGCAAGAGAGGATGGATGAGGATGTGGATGGAGAAAGAGGAGGGAGGGAGGAGGGAGGGAGGAGGGAAGAGAGAGGAAGGGAAGGAGGAGTCTGGAGAGAGGGAAGAGAGGAAGGGAGCCCGTCAGGGTCCATTTCGATCCGATTCGGTGCCGAGTCTGGCTGGCCTCACTGGACTCGATACGACGCTCCGAGGATTTGGTGCGGCCTGGTGCTCGCATGGCGCTGCCGTGCTTCCTGGCGCAGCCAATACGCTCTGAGTTCGGCTCCGTGCCGATGCAGCCGGACCTGACGCGCATCTCGGCCCCGTCGTTTTCCTGATTCGATGCAGGCAGATCCCGCCTGTGGTTCCCTCGGCATCTTGTCGGACAAATTGGCTTCGCACTGCGTCGCGAAAAAGGGCGTGTGTGTCTCGTCCAGGGTCGCGCAGGCATGTGAAGAGGACCTCGTCCGCGGTCGGCGTCGCGAAAAAAACTGCGACAGGCGTTCACGACCCTTTTCAGGCTGCTGGGCCCACGGGCCGTCCTGGCTCCGACGGGCCGTCCGGGCTCTTATGGAGACTTGTTGTACGGGCATGCTTTTGTTCACGGCGTCGGATGCTTAGGGATTGTGTTTGTTGGAGCTCGTGGGAGGGCCTGCTGATCTCCCCCGAATAATCGCAGCATTTGTTAGTATGAGTTAAATCCTGATGCTTACGCGTTTGTACGTGGTTCTGTGTCTGCGTCGTCCCTTCAGATCGCGCGTCCCTCAAACGTCGCAGTGAATGCGCGGAGGAGCCGTTCTGCGGCACGGTGCCCATGGAAGAGCTTGGCCGTGTGTCACATAAGAGGCGCTGCGAAGCAAACGTGCAATACGGGCGAGCTCAGCGCAGTCGTGGAACTTCTGCTCCAGGCTGGCCATGGTCGAGCAACGCTATCGGGAGAGAGAGAGAGAGCGCTTTCGTCATACAGAACGATCGTGAATTTCATGTGGGATGGTCTCGGGGCTGGCTTCGGGCAATCCGCATGTACACAGTAATCCGTCGAGTGTCGCGACGTGCCGCAGGTCGTGCGTAGCTGGCTCGTCTGGGTGAAAGGGCACAGTGCGCACACCGGCAGCACCCGCGCCGATCATCTAGCTGGAATGGCGCCAGAACCCGAGTCTGAGCCTCGTGTTCCATGTCATCCGCGGCTGTCGTGTTTCTGACCGAGCTGGAACCATAATGGGATGTCGAACCTGCTGGACCCTGGCGGGAGACGGGCGCAGGCGCGACGAGGTAAATGAGAGGAAGCGCCGATGCGCTTGCTCCAGCCATGTTCTGCAGGCCGTGTGCGTCTTACGTTTTGGCGTGTTTGCTCCAGCCATGTTCCGGAAATGTCAGACCCCCTTTATAGGATTTGTCGAGACATTCCGAAAGACTCGGGGTACCCGCGAGTACCCTTGTCCATCTACTCAGCCTCCTCCTAGGTGCTCAGTTTGGTCGCTGATCAGATCCCCACGATGGCCGCATGCCAACAGTCTCCAGAACCGACCATCGAGGAGGAGGAGGAGGAGTAGAAGGAGGAGTAGCGGGAGGAGGGGGAAAAGGAGGAGGAGGAGGAGCATGAGGAGAGGAGGACGAGGAGGGGGAGGAGTTGGCATTTCAACAAGGGCCTCGCCGTCCAGGAATCTAGAGTTTGATACCTCGTCCTCGCTGAGTGCACTGGACTGCCTTCACAAGTATGAGCGAGGGGCTGCTCGGCGGAGGGTCGCGGAAGCAAATGGGTTGGCCTCTCAAGGGAGGCCAGCGCATGTGGGGCTCGGATTTCTGGAGGTGGCCAACTGCCCCACCCGACTCTCGCAGAATAGTCTTGGTGCCGCTCACCTTTCCTGGTGACCAGCTTCTCGTCACATTCGTTTCGTCTTCGGCGGGTTTGGGAGCTTTTTGGGACGGAAAGTCACCCCCCTTGGGTCGAAGTCTTGGGTGCTGGTCCGATCTGTTCCCATCCGTGTGCTCGCCGATCCGACTTCACAGGTTCGATGTTTTTCTCGAACTGGGGGGGTGCAGCCGCCTCCAGATTTTCGGGCCCTCGCCGACGCCTCTCCTGCGGCGCGTGAAACGCCCTCGGCGCTACCTCGTCCCCATCGTTCGGGAGAGTGCGGGCGGGCGATCGGGGCCACCCCCAGACGGCAACTCGTGGACGAAGCAGGAGCGCAGCGCGCGCCCTAGCAAACATTGCAGCCGTGGGTCGGAGCAGTCGCCGGTGCAGTCGGGCCGAGGCATAAGACCGAGGTCGGTCCGGGGAGGGAAGCCCTCCTGTTCTTTGTGCCCGTGGGATGTTCTCGTGCACCCTGGGGAGGGTGCCCTTGGATGTTCTGTGCGTCTTGGCCGGCGGAGGGTCTCGTGTTCGTAAGGGACGGGCTTCTGTCCAAGGTTCGGCTGTGTCATATCTCTCCAGGCGGGCCTGGTTCGATATGTCCTGGCCCAGGGGGCCGCGAGGTGATGCCGGCTGGGCCCCGCAGCGCCCGAACAGATAATTTAAAAGACGTTCGGCGGCCACGACGACGACCCCTGAGATCCGAGCTTGCGAAAACATGCTGCCCTGCATGACATTACGACTGGAGCCCCAGACCCGATGTTCCTGTGCCAGTTCTCGTGCCGGATCGATCTGTAAGGGTCTTGGGCACGGAAACTTCGGCTACACGTAAGAGTGACCTGTCGCCAGAGTGACCATTGGTGCGGACCCAACGGGGCCCCCTGGTCGCTGAATGCGATGCGATAGCAGCGGCTTGCGCGCCTGGTGGTGTCCCCGAAGGGCCCAGCCCGCGCACAGAAGGTCACTCTTGCCGAGGGTCACTCTTGCGTGCAACCGAAAGCAACGACAAACAACCCGTGTGTCTAAAAATGGCAGCGCCAGGAGCCGAGGCAAGGTCACGGCCACGGCCGCGACCGCCGACCACCGACCACCGACCACCGACGGCCGACGGCCGCGGCCACGGCAATGGCCACAGAATTCTCGCACCGACCCGCCGACGGCGAGAGACTTTTGGTGGCCGAGGGCCGCGGCCGCGGCTGTCGTCGCGCCTTGGATTAAGTCGGGCATGTCCTCTTACAGGCGGATTTTTCTCTAATCGGAGCTTGCCTCTGTAGGGTTTCAAGCGGATTCATATGTGAAGGTGACCTACGTCGCCGATTTCGGTGGTCGGGCCGGGTGCCCGGGTGGCCGGTAGCCTTATACTCTTATAGTAGCCCTATATCTTTATAGCCCTATATCCCTAATAACCCCATAGCCCAATTGCCCTGTAGCCCTATGGCCCCATAGCCCCAGAGCCTATAGCCCTATAGCCATATAGCCTTATAGCCCCATAGCCCTATAGCCCTATAGCCCCATTGCCTTATAGCCTCATAGCCCTATAGCCCCATCACCCTCTAGCCCTCAAGCCATTATGATCGGGGTATTTCTCTGGCATCATGGATGAAAACACCAAACAGCATTCCAAAAAACATTCAGAAATAGTGATATGATGTCCCCAAACTATTTGAAGCTGTTTGTGATTCTTGTGAAGGCCTGACGGCCGGTGCCGCCAACCCTGAAAGACATCGACGACGACCAGGAGGGGGAGGATGAGGAGAAGGAGGAGGAGGAGGAGGAAGAGGACGAGGAGGAGGCGGATATAAGCAGGAGGAGGAGGAGGAGGAGGAGGAGGAGGAAAAGGATGAGGAAAAGGAGGAGGAGGATGAAAAGGACTCCCCCCTGCATCCCCCCCCTGGGGAGGAGGACCAGAGGAGGACTGGCGTGGGAGAGGGGAGGGGAGAGCGAAGAGGACCCCCAGGGACGGATGCGTATCTGACTCCTCTCCCCCCCTCTGGGACTCTTCCCCATCTGGGGAGGACCCGCGGAGGACCGGCGCGCCGGAGAAGGACTGGCGTGGGAGAGAAGGACCAGAGGCGATGCGAGTCTGACCCCCCCTCCGGACCCCCCCCCCGCCAGGGAAAGGACAAAGGAAAGGGGCTTCCCTTTGACGTAATGAGGACGTGGATGAGATCCCCTCAAGCTGCGAGCCCTATTCCCGAACGAGGAATGGTGCTCTCTCTCTCTCTCTCTGCCCGTCGAAGAAAGAAGGCTACCCGTCGACCGGACCGGACAGACACCCCACACACGCCGACAGGGTCGGCGGATCCCCCCTGTAGAGTGACACGCCGGGCTTAAGCCTTGGGGGCCGCGCGAGGCGCGGCCCCCAAAAAACCAGCGCGCAGAGGAGCCGCGGCCGGGCGCGGTGCTGGCCGACGTGCGCGCGTACGCGTGCAGCCTCGTGGCGCCGTGGCACCGCGAGGTGCTCGAAGCGCTGGAGGACGCGCGGCCTCCTCCCTCCCTCCTTCCTCCTCCTCCTCCTCCTCCTCCTCCTCCTCCTCCTCCTCCCTCTTCCTCCCTCCTGCTCTTTCCTCCTTTCCTCCCTCCTCCTCCTCCTCCTCCTCCTCCTCCTCCTCCTCCTCCTCCTCCTCCTCCTCCTCCCCGTGCTAAAGGTGCGCACGGTCCCAGGATGAGTATTCGGGGAGAACGCACTGGGCGGCCTGTAAGGGGACGAAGAGCCTCCGACGAGCACCTCCCTTGAGCTCACTGGAGTTTCGCCACCGGGACGACACAGGCCAGTCGGTAGCTGGGCTTCCCCAGGCCCGTAGCAACTGCTCCCCTCTCCATGCACGGATCGTGTGGCATGTTCCACCCTTCGTTCCTTCCACTTGCTGTCCCTAACCCAAGCAGCCCCAGTGCCCCCCTTTCCCTCCCACTTCTCTCGGCCGCCCCTCTGTCCCGCCCGCTCCACCTCCTCTTTGTCCCATCGTATATGGTCACCATTGCTTCCATCGCGGTCTCCGAGTGGAGGGGGAAGCCGCTTCGAGTAGGTAGCCAGCAGGCCACTCATCATATTGTGTATCCTCCTGGGCCACGGGTTATAGGCATTTTGTGGGGTCGCACTTAGCTTTCCAATGACTATGGGTCCCTGCTGTGCTGTGGGCTCGGCTTTGTTTCGCATGCCCCCCTTGCAGCTTCTGTATGGGCTAGCGCCGTCCGCGCTGGAACACTGCCAGGACTGCGGGCTACGGCTATGCTTCGCATACCCATCTCGCTTGCGGTCCGTTGTTTCGGCTGGCTCGGTTCAACCAGCACGGCTGGAGTTCTGGTAGCACGCCGCACGCAGGCAGGTAAGATTTCTGGTGTTCTGCTTGGGCTTCGGGCGCTGTCTCTGTATAGGTTAGCGCCGTCCGCATAGGAATTCTGCCAGGACTGTGGGCTTCGACTGTGCTTCGCATACCCATCTAGCCTGCGGCCCGCTTCTTCTGAACACTGGGAAACCGACCCCACCTCCAACAACTATGCATTTTACATGTCAGCGTTTTGCATGTATGGCGAATGTGCGTGCGTGTAGGCGCCCTGTCGGCGAGGCCATTGCCAGCTGCCGTGGGGGGGGGCCGGGCGCGTGGCGACGTCCGGGGCCCACTCGACGCGGCCGTGCCCGCGCCGGCATTCCCAGGGCCGCGCGTGCCACGGCCGCGGCATGCAGGTTGACGCGACGCCGGCGGTGTCCTTCGCGCGGCAGCGCAGCTGGCCCAGCCGAGGGCCCCCACCCCCGACTCCGTCGCCACCTTCGTAACCCGCCGACGGAAAACTTTAGATCGGGAGCGTTTCTCTTGAGGCAACTGCTCCAATGTAAGATTTTCGTGGCACTCATATGAACACAATTTTCTGCTTGTGTAATATGTTTGGGGTTTTCCCGCGCGAGACCCTTCCCTTCGGAGAAGTTTCGATATGTGTTCTGTAGACTTTATATCGACTTATTTCGCCTGGTGCCTAAACTTTGTTTTCGGTGTGGATCTAAACTTTTCGACGCGCGCCTGTGCGGGGCGGGCCACGGGCGCCGTTCTGGGCTCGTGGAAGCGCCGGCAAAGGCCGACGCGCCTCTTGGTTTTTGCGTTGGCACGTTCGCGCGAATATCCACAATAGTTTTGGGCGTTGACCGTGCGCCAACACAAGGCAACGCCAAGTTCAAACGCTAATGAGCATAGCAGCAGCGCGCCGTTCGCTCTGAATTGCGCGGCGTCGTCGTTGGCTGACCGTCGAGCTGTTTCCGCTTGCAGTTCGCGCGTCGTTTGAAGGCCCCAGTCGTTTAAAGTTCCTCACAAAGGGGGCGGGGGTCGTTTTTCATGCGTCTTCGGCTGGCCCGACTCAACAAACACGGCTGAAGTTTTGGTAGCACGCCGCACGTAGGTCGGCAAGTTTTCGGGACTTCTGATAGGTTTTCGGGCTAAGGCTTTGTATCGCAAACCCAACCAGCGCGCCAGCCGTGGTTTCGGCGTTTGGGCCAGCCCGAGCCAACAATCCCGGCAATCGTCTTTGCCTTCGCCGCACTGCGTTTGGATAGGCTGGCGCCGTTCGCAATTGTGCTCTGCCAGGACTGTGGGCTTATGCATCGCATGCCCATCCAGCCTGCGGTCCGTTGTTTCGGCGGGCCCGACTCAACAAACACGGTTGGAATTCCGGTAGCACGCCGCACGTAGGTAGGCAAGATCTCGGGTATCCAGCTGGGGCTTCGCGCCATCCGCTCTGGAATCCTGCCAGGACTGGGCTACGGCTGTTCTTCGCATGCCCATCTAGCCTGCGGTCCATTGTTTCGGACGGTCCGACTCAACAAACACAGCGGCCGCATCAAGGGATAACGTTTTGGTAGCAAACCGCATGTAGGGATGCCAGTCCTCACGCATTATGCAGGGGGGGTCAGGTTTCCCCGGTCAGGGTGTTGGTTCTTCGAGGCCACACCGCTATCCCTGCGGGCTACAAGGCTGCAGGGGCGGGGTTGTCCTTTTAGCTCGGCATCCCTGTCCCGGCTAGCCTGGCTCAGTGAGGGGCAGCTGATCCCCTGCAGGGCCGTTCCAAAGGCGGCCCGCTCGGTGACCTGGTAGCTTGGTCAGTGATCCTTCGGGTCTGTGGTTTCGGTGCCAGAAAATGGCAAAGTGCACCAACCGTCCGTTGCCCTTCTTGTGGTGTCGGTGCCAGAAAATGGCAAAGTGCACCTGCCGTCCATTGCTTTGTTGGTGGCGTCGGCGCCAAAAAATGGGAAAGTGCACCCTCCGCCTGTTACCCTTTTTGTGGTGTCGGTGTCAGAAAAATGGCAAAGTGTATCTACCGTCCGTTGTCTACTAAGGAGTCTTCTCGCAATATTGATCCAGAGTCATCCCTTCCATGATCGTGTCGGATGTCGCCGCAACCTCCTCGGGTGCCTGCTCTTGTATGTCCACGTGCAGTGCCATTCCAGGACCTCGCTGTCGTCGTGTAGGACCTATCTCATGTAGGCAAAGCGTGCGTGGATGGAAGCTGCTTGACTGCCCTTGTCCACTGGGTCGGGATCAGGAGCTGCAGGTGCCCTTGGAATTTCTTGCTTCACGTAGAGGTGGTGCGTGCGGTTGTTCTTCTCGCCCTTACACTGAACATGTTGGGTCTGCGCAGCATGCGTTGGCATGCGCTGACATGGGTCGGCATGCAGTGGGATTCGTTGGCGCGCATTGGCATGCTTTTGGCATGCTTTTGGCATGCGTTGGCATGTGCTGACATGCGTGGGCATGCGTGGGCATGCATTGGCACTCGTTGGCACGAATTCGCATGCATGGGTATGCATTGACATGCGTTGGCATGCTCTGGCATGCATTGGCATGCAGTGTGTTGCATCGCCCTGCATTGACATGCGTTGGCATGCATTGACATGTATTGTCGTGCAAGGGCATGCAGTGGCATGCATTGGCACGCGTTGGCATACATTGGCATGCGTGGGCATGTGTTGGCATGCGTTGGCAGGCGTTGGCACGCATCGCATGCATTAGCATTCATTGGCATGCTTTGGCATGCAGTGGCACGCGTTGGCATGCATTGGCACGCATTGGCATGCACTGGCATGCACTGGCATGCGATGGCATGCATTGGCATGCGTTGACATGCGTTGGCATGCGTGGGCATGCGTTGGCTTACGTCGGCATGCGTCGGCATGCATTGGTATGTGTTGGCATGCGTTGGCATTCGTTGGCATGCGCTGTCATGCGTTGCCATCATGTCTGCCCACCGGGGCCATCACGGGGCAAGACCCCGCCATGCCGCCAGGTCGCAGTTGCGTAGGTCCGGCACGCCTGCCCGCAACGCCAACAGTTGGCCCCCCCCGAAATATAGGTACCACATCTTGGCCGTGCCGCCACCCTTCAAATAAAGAGGGGGGTCGTCTCTATCACTGTGCTATTGAAGGCAAGGGGGTTGTCCGCAGCAGTGTGTGATTCCTTTCTGGTCTGCGGGCTCAGGCTTTGTCTCTCGTGCCCCACTTGCAGCGTCTGCGTGGGCCATCGCCGTCCGCGCAGAAATTCTGCCAGGACTGTGGGCCACGGTTATGCTTCGCATGCCCATCTAGCCTGTGGTCCGTTGTTCCGGCTGGCCCGACTCAGCCAACACGGCTGGATTCTGGTAGCACGCAGCACGTAGGCAGGTATGATTTCTGGTGTTATGCTAGGGCTTCGGGCGCTGATTCTGTATAGGCTACCGCCGTCCGCGCTGGAACTCTGCCAGGACTGGGCTACGGCTATGTTTCGCATGCCCATCTAGCCTGCGGTCTGTTGTTTTGGCTGGCGTGGCTCAACCAACGCGGCTGGATGTCTGGTAGCGCGCCGCACCTAGGTTTGCAAGCGCTCCATAATTATGATCGGATTTCGGGGTTTGGTTTGCATCGCAACCAGCGCGCTGGCCGTGGCTTCGGCCAGCCCGAGTCAACAATCCCGGTAAACGTCTTTGCGTTCATCGCTTTGCGTTTGGATGGGCTGGCGCCGTTCGCAATTGTGCTCTGCCAGGACTGTGGGCTGATGCTTCGCGTGGCCATCTAGCCTGCGGTCCGTTGTTTCGGCTGGCCCGACTCAACCAACACGGGTGGATTCTGGTAGCACGCCGCACGTAGGTAAGCAACATATCGGTGTTTTGCTAGGGTTTCGCGCCATCCGCATTGGAATTTTGCGAGGACTGCGAGCTACGGCTATGCTGCGCATGCCCATCTAGCCTGCGGTTCGTTGTTTCGGCTGGTCCGACTCAACAAGCACGGCTGGAGCTCCGTCAGCAAACCACACGCAGGGATGCCTGTCCTCACGAATCATGTAGGTGTAGGGAGGTGGGAGGGTGCAGGAAGCTTGATACCTTGCAGCGGTATGGTTTTCGGGGGGACCATGGGGGGAAGTGCGAGAGGGCCAACCATCTCAGGAGGTTCACACGACCTTTGGCCAGTTTCAAAAGTGTCAAGATTTGTTATGATGGCACGGTGGGCGGGTTCCCCAGAAAGCCGGAGTCTGGTACGAACCCCCACCGCTTTCTGAGAAGGCCTGAGCCCCCTTTACTTCCCTTTTTGGCGCGCCTCCCCTCATCGTCGGTTGTTGGCCAGGTTTCGCCTTCGTTTGCAACCGACAACAAGAGGCAGCGACTTGAAGTTTCCCCAGGAAGAGGATGCACCCCCTTGACAATCCCTAGCTGGATCACGGACTGTCCGTCCAAAGGCGGCCCGCTCGCTGTCTTGGCCGCTTGGTCCATGATCCTCCTCCTCCTCCTCCTCCTCGTCCCTCCTCCTCCTCCTCCTCCTCTTCCTCCTCCTCCTCCTCCTCTCCTTCTCCTCCTTCCTCTTCCTCCTCCTTTTCCTCCTCCTTCCTCCTCCTCCTCCTTCTCCCCCCCCTCCCTCCTCCTTCCGCCGCCGCCGCCGGCCGAGGCGTCGCTCAGCGGAGCGGCGCTCGGCCGCCGCCGCCGCCGCTGCTGCTTCCTGAGGTCGGCGGCGGTGGCGGCGGCGGGGTGGCGACGGCTGTGGCGGCGTTGGCGACGGCGGCGATGTTTGCAGTGGCGATGGCTACGACGGCGATGGCGGTGGCGGCGATGATGGCTGCGGCCGCGGCGATGGCGATGGCGGCGATGGTTGCGGCGGCGGCGATGGCGATGGCGGCGGCGGCGGCGATGGCGATGGCGGTGGCGGCGGCGGCAATGGTGACGGGGGCGACCGCTGTGGCGGCGGTGGCGGTGGCGATGGCGATGGTGGCGATGGCTGCGGCGGCGGCCATGGCGACGGCGGCGATGGCCGCGGCCGCAGCTCGGGCGATGGCGGCAACGGGTTGCCAGACAGGACTCCACGCTGCGGATCGTGGCCGCTGAGGCGCGCTGTGCAGCCGCCGAGGCCGTGGCCGCGGAGGCCTCGGGGTCCGCGGGGGCGCTGAAGGCGCGCAGCCCCGCCGCCCGCAGCGGCGGCGGGCGGCGGCGACCGCGGCGACTGCAGCGGCCTTCCCCAGGGTCAGCGCTTGATCTCGAGGCGTTCGGTGACTCTCCCGGGGCCCGTGGTCCGCGCCTGGGATGCATTCTCCACATCTACCGCCTGGGTAGCCGATCTCAATGGACCTCGAGAGGCAGCGGCTACATACACACATATACCCCGTTGATGGGGATAAGAGTGATGGGGGCGGTGGGGAAGCTCACTCCCCAGGAATGTAAGAGGCCCGAGAGGGTTTCCCCCAGAAGCCTCGAGGGCCCTGTTGTTCCATTCCTTGCTCTCTTTCTCCCTGTTTGTACTTATCCCTACCGCCGCCCGCCTTTTTTCTCGAATAGGGCCCCTGGCCTCAGAGCTACGTGTACCTCTGCCGCGCAGAGGGAGAAAGCATTATCAGCGATCAATCACACATGCAACTTACAGCGAGCAAAACTGATTGCGCTGGAGAAGAAGTATGGCGATGACGACGAGGAGGACGTGGACGAGGAGGGACACAGAGCTACGAGAGAACCCTTTCCCCAGACATCCCGCGTCTCGCTCTTTTCCAAAGCCATTTCCTCGGAGCCGGCTTCTCCCGCCGAGTAGTTAGTTCTTTGGCGGCCAAGAGGCCTTGTGTGTAAAGACCCCGAGCGGCGGGGGACTATGAAAAACCGCCGTCTCGATTTTTTCGAGAGGCCTGATGTTTTCGTCCTCCTCCTCCACCTTCTCGTCCTCCTCCTCCTCCTCCTCCTCCTCCTCCTCCTCCTCCTCCTCCTCCTCCTCCGCGCTCAGCGGCGCCGACGACGGCGGCCCAGCCCGGCCAGACGAGGAGCGCCTGGCGGCGCTGGAGGCCCTGCCCCACGCGGCGGGGGGCGGCGCCGGCGCCGCGGCGGTCGCGGTCGCAGAGGCGCGCCTGCTGCGGAGGGGTGCGGTCGGGTCTGGAGGTCCGCGCGGATTTCTCGGATCGGCGCTGGGGCCCCCCTGGCGGCGCCTCCGGCACCGCCCCTGGAGCGCTCCGCGCGCCAGGAAGGTGGCTCCAGCGCGGATCCGAGAAATCCTCGCGGACCTCCGAGTTTTTATGTATATGTCAGTTTTCGTTCCTCTATCTAGGCTAGGCCTCCCAGATGGGGTCCGAGTACATGGGGTCGGAGGATCGCGCCGCAACGACAGTGCATCGGCGATGCGGCTCGATGTGGAGCCCGATTTCTCCACGCCGACGTCGCCGATAGACCGCTGACGTCGCTGGTGCATCGCCGATGCATCGCCTATGTCGGATGTGGGGAGCAGGCGGGGCTAGGCCAGCTTCCTCTCCACGACTGCCAGGCGGGCATCCCCGCAGCAGTCTGCTTGAACTCGCAGCGTGTCCCGGAAGCGCTTTCCAATTTGTTTTCCAACACGTGTGCCGCAATCGTTTGCCACCTCCTGCGCAGCGCTTCCGAAGCTCGTGGGCAGCGCCTATACAGCTCCCAGGCAACGCTTCAAAGTGTCGTTTGCGCGCCTTGGCAGCTCATTGGCATGTCTTCCTGAACTCATGACGCTGCCTAGGAAACTCCTATGCAGCGCCCTCAAGCGTCGCTTCGAAGCTTGCCAGCGCGCATGGGCGAGTCCAGGTTTTTCGAGGCTCGAGGTATTCGGGCGGTTTCGTCTGTTCTTGGCGGCTTTCCGCCCTCGGGATGCCTTCCAGCGGATGCGCCTCGCCGAGGGCGTTCCGGGGGTGCCCAGATCGTCCCGAACGGCCGCTGGAGAGCCGAGCGATGGTCCGAAAGCCAGGGGCAACGGTGGGGTGGAGGGTGGGGGATGGGCTAAGGGATGGACGCATCGACCACCAATCGCCAATCTATCGCCGATGCGACGGGGTGCCCTCGACGCAGAGGGGGTCGGAGGCGTGTAGAATCGGGGAAGCGCAAACACGGAACGAGGCGCGTGGATTGGCGACGGGCCCTGTTGCCGTGCAGAGCCGGCGCGCTCCAGCACTGACCTCCCGGTTCGGGGGCACCTTCCCCGAATTTTGGGTCTGGCGCCGACGCGCTAGGTCCACGGATCCGTAATCCATGTTGGTTCGGGCCCGATCCCCACCTTGCCAAGCCGATGCGCGAGTTCCTCGTTGCCGGTTCTGGAGAGGGTCTTGCGGCCGCAGCTTCTGTGGGCCTGCGCCCGCTCGCGTCGGTTTGTATTGCGCGAGAGGGTGCTTTATCCACCCCCGATCTGGGGGTTTATGTCGCACGGCGGGTGGTACCACTTTCAAGCAGGGGCGAAGCGTCCTGGCGTCTGTAGTCCTACCAAACAATGTTCTAAGAACCCTTTGTGGTTCCCACGAAACGTTCTTAGAACATTTCTGGTGGAGTCTGTCTTGTTTTATCACGTCGGGCTTATGTT